TAAAGTTTCATTCACACACATCTAAAGGAAGATTCTTTGGAACTTTCTCCCTCCCATTTTTTTCTTTTGGCATATCAAGACTTCAAAGAATTAGAGTTTGAGGCACTTCCAACCTTCTCTCTCATTACTTTGCTAAATAAATATGTTGCTAAACATATTTAAATAAATAAATAAACATGTTTGCTAAATAAATATGTATTACTCATTAGTTAAATGGTTAGGTGCTATGGTAATCTTGTTCCCCCAAAAGAAATAGGACCTTCCATCACCTAGAGAACCAGACACAAGAACCAGTGAAACTAGATTTGAACTGAAAGACACTAACTCAAACACCCTGGTCCATTGTGCAAAGAGCTTCAGAACACTGCAACATTTAGGGAGAATTGGTCCTGGTTCACTGGTATCAACACCTGTAAACAGACACAAAAAGGTAATTGTAGTTATCAAGAGCTGGGGAAATAGAGTTACCAAGTAATTACCATTGTTTCAATCGAGTTACCACATCTTCACCTTGAAACAACTGGTAGCCAGTGTACAATTAACTCTCCTTATTGCAGCACAGACATCAAAACAGTAGCCGTATCGGAATGCCTGGGTGGCTCAGCGGTTGAGTGTCTGCCTTCAGCTCAGGGGATTATTCCGGGTTCCGGGATCGAGTCCCACATCCGGCTCCTTGCAGAAAGTCTGCTTCTCCCTCTGCCTGTGTCTCTGCCTCTGTGTGTGTGTGTGTCTTATGAATAAATAAATAAAATCTTAAAAAAAAAAAAGTAGCCATATCAGATTAATTTTAAGTCACTCAATGCAATACAAAACACCACAACTCCAAGAATAAGTGGCATCAACTAGCTTCCAAGGGTGCCTACCTTTCAGAGGAATATGACCAAAAGCCCCTGAAGTTTAAGAAAGAAATTAACTGGCATCCTATATTAAAAGCCAGCTCAGCTCCAAGACTCCAAATTCATTTAGATTTTGTGGATTCTTTCCCCAAACACAATCAGTGGCCAACGTAGGAGTCAATCAATGGCTTTTCCCTGTGTTCAAGTGCCCTCCTATCCATCTACCTCCTTTCAGAAATTAGAAAAGAGTCACCAGTCTCCAAACTGGCTGATGAAATTTCAGCCTACAGGATATTTTCATATTTGCATTATAATAAACCATTGAAATGAAGATGAATAGTGGACAGCTTAATAACCCATTGGCTAAAGTATCTGAAGCCCAGCATTAGCATACAAAGTCCAAAATTCTTTAACCTAGACCAACAAAAGCCCTGTGTGTACACACACACACACACACACACACACACACACACACACACGTATATTTTACTATCAGTTCTCCGTTCCTTTGAGTTACTCTGCAGTATGGAGAGCGGAGTCTATTGTTTGCCTGTCCCTAGCTGTTCACTTTAGTCACTAGTTTGCTAACTAAAAGACTTTCCATTTGTATTCAAGTCCGAATTAAGTAATTCAGTACCAGGCTCTATTCCACTCCCTTCATTACCCTCAGGACTGCCCAGTTAGCTCTATTCAAAGTTAGTTTTCACAATCCATCTACCAATGCTACTAAAATACCAGAACTTAAAACAGGTGACAGGTCCTTAATTTCTGATTTGTTTTTCCTCAAACACTAAAAAGTTTTTATTTAGCATTTCTAATACCAACTTTACTACAAATAGCCTAAGCAACATTTAAGTCCCTCAACCACATGGCTCAAAGGGCCAATTCACTCAAAGAACACACTAGTCACTGTTGTGGGGTTCAAAAGAAGAAAAGAGAGTATTCTTTCTGTTTCGGGCCACTGTGACATGGCAGTAGAGGGCCAAATCAAGGAGGAGTCCTGATTGGGCTTCTCAAGTGGACAATCTGGTCAAGGTGAGGCTGAGAAGTAGCTGACTACTAGAGATGAATGGCCCTAACAGAAGCCAAAATAGGTTACATCCCCGGGTTACGTGCCAGCCCAAAGATGCCGACACAGTGGGACTGCGCCCACAATGGTCATTTATCTACTGTAATCCACTGAAAGAACTTTTAGCACCAACCTACACCTCAGCTGAGTGTTATTAGTCACCAGGCAGACCAGACAAGAGAGGAAATATTGCAACACAAAACCTGCCTCCCTACAAAAGCAACTTCAAACTTAGATCCTGATGGACATCTTTGGAGATCAACAGGGACATATTATTATCACCTGCCCAAACTTCAACCCTAAATTCATACACAGCTGGAAGCAAAGGAGGATTCATGCATTAGAACATATGCAGGGTACTTGTTATGCAATTTTAAATAGCAGCATACAGGACAGAAAACAGTAAGAAAAAAAAAGTGCACTCTCAGTTGAACATTCTGTTTAATATATATATATATATATATTTTTTTTTTAAATTATTTATGACAGTCACACAGAGAGAGAGAGAGGCAGAGACACAGGCAGAGGGAGAAGCAGGCTCCATGCACCGGGAGCCCGACGTGGGATTCGATCCCGGGTCTCCAGGATCGCGCCCTGGGCCAAAGGCAGGCGCCAAACCGCTGCGCCACCCAGGGATCCCGAACATTCTGTTTAATTCTGAACACAGTTTGACGTTTATCTGCCAGAAAAGACCCAGGTGACCACAGCCATCTCGCCTCCTCTCCCACACTCAGCAGGGTGAGTTTTTTTTTATTGCAATAATCCAACAGTACCTGCAAAACAGTAAGTCATAATGCTCCAAGAAAGGAAACAGAACTGATCAAAAAGGAGCACCACTTTCTATTTCCTTTTTCTTGCTCTTATTTTGCCTACCTATTCTGAGCCCAGCCTCCACCTCTCTGACCTAAACTTTTCATTTCCTTTTTGTTCACGAGGCTCTGGCTGTTACTCCCCTTTCCCATTCTCCCTCACCTCTCTACCCTCCCCCTCCTCCACCTCACCCCTTTCTTCCCAAGCCTTAGAACTTGCCAGAGTCATTTGTGCCAGTTTCTGCACTACCTAGTCCCAGGAACCTGGAAGGCTCCTCCCCTATATCTGCATGTCTGGCTTCTTTTTATTCAAAGCTCAACTTAAGGGTCACCTTCCTTGAAAAGGTCTTCCTTGACTGCATCCCGATTAGACATGTTTTGTCATATCACTGTACTTCAGCACTTAGCAAAGTCTGATTCGCTTATTTATTCTGCCCCACACACTCCAGCGTAAGCGCCATAAGAGTTCAGACCTTATGCCTGCATTCACCTTTGCCAACCACAGCCCAAAATACTGGCTAGCTCTTACTAGCTAATCAATAATGCTTGTTGGATGAATGAATTTTGGACTTTATATTCAATGGTTCCAAATCAATTAAGGTGAGAATAGTACTCATTCTTTTCTTTTGTTACAGTTCTGTGAAACATCTAAACATGATGTTGTTACTTGTATAATCAAAGCATTAAATATCATTTTATCAGGCCTGAAAGCCCTGATGAGTAGGATGGGATCCGTTATAATTCTTCTAGCAATACGCATCATAAATTCAGTTATAAAGGCCCAGGACTTATGGACACTTTCTAACCAAAGGACCTCTAAAATTTAGGCACTATTTCTTAAAGCTCTTCAGAAAACACAGTTCCACATGCAACAGAGGACTACCGAAGAAAATATCAACATCAAAATAGGAACCATTACATTTCACTCTGAAATTCCTACAACAAGCTAAAAGAGGACTACTTGGTGACTTTTTTTTTTTTTGAAACCCACAGAACATCAATAGAGATCTTCTTTCCAGTCATTCTCTGCTTTCTTCAAATAATTTTTGTTATTGGTTTGTACTTTTTTTTCCAAACAGATCACATTTTCTCATTTAAGTCCGTCTATACACAAAGAATCAGCTAAATAAATGAGAGCATAAGACAGAAATCAGCACAAGCCAAAAGTGTCACTGAAGACTTGTGTGCCCGACACAAATAGAGAAAAAGATAAAAGAGCTATTGTCCAATTGCAGAAACAAAAAAGTAATATGGGGTTTTCTGTTCTCTGAAGTGCATCATGAAGTGTGGGTGGAGAGAAACACAGAAATCCAGAATTAGCCTAACATCAAATCATTTTGGAAAGAGTTGACAAGATGTAAATTCCTCACACACAAAGTATTTAGAACAAGAGACTTTGATTCCTGGGCTATGATGCCATTTAGGAATCCTTGCAAGGGCTTTGGAATCCCAGTATTCATAGGAGAAAATGCTCATCTTAATTTGGAGCTACCAGGCATTGAGAGGTACTCCCAATGTGACATAGCCTGTAACTGAAGTATTACAAAGCTTGCAGGAAGATCTGGGAGAGAGGCTGAACACCAAATTCAAGAGGTAACCAAGGTACCAAGTGTCATAAAGGAAAAGAAAAAAAAAAACCCACCATGATTACCACGTAGCCACAGAGAACTGAGGTGGAAACGAGGGGTGTATACGAGGAAAGATAAGGGGGAAAGGGGAATGGGAAAAAAAAAAAAAAACAATACGTTGTCACCCCGTCCCACTTCCTACACAGGATACAGGCAAAGCTTCCAGCCCCATTACCTCAGGCACAGATGGTTATCGTTTATAGCAAAGGTGCACAGAAAGGCCTTCAGGTCTGAGCCCCTTAATTCCAGGGCTGTTAATGATTAAAGGGAAGGATGGGGGTGGGGAGGAAAATGAGGGAGGAGGGAGCCGAAGATTTACCCACCACCTCCCGCTTGGACTCCTACCTCACAGAGCTTACCCGGGCCATAGGACCAGAGTCGACACCCTCTCCAGGGCTGTTCCAGCCCCCAGATCCCCAGGCCTGGGTTGAGGGGTGCTGGCCGTGGCGAGGCAGGGACAGTAGGCAAGTTTTCTTGAGCCCTGCAGCTGACACGCCACAGGCTCCCCTCACAGCCTCTTCTTCCAAAAGGACCAGTCCAGACAAGGCGCTGATTTCCACTCCTCCCCTTCCACCCCCTTTTCTCGAAGGTACCCAACCCCCGCCCCTTCATCTCTCAATGCTCCCCGCTTTTCCTTAACCCCCCCCCCAAAACTCACAGCTGCTCCAGAGGTTCCTCCAGTCAAACCCTTTCTGGAAACGACGGCGGCCCGGCGGGTCCAAACCACCTACCATCCCCGCTCGCGTTTCCAGGATCCCTACCCGCGCCGCCGCCGCCTCTTCTTCCACCACTGCCGCCGCCTCCTCTTCATCTGCGGCCCACCGGCGGCGGCCGCCCCCAAGCCCCGCCCCCTCTATCGCCTCCTGCATCATCACTTCCGGTAACCCCGCAGGCCGCCCGCTTCAGGAGGGAGAATAGAAGAGGGGCGGGGAGGAACGGGTGGAAGATTGCGTCACGACGTACGCACGGACGTACGAAGCCGTCGCCAAGTAAGGGCAAAGAACTATCGACGCGGAGGGAGGGCTGGGAAGAGTTGGACTGGATCATTTTTTGGCTAGAGTGGGGGGCGGGGGAGGATAGCGAAAAGGGGTAAAGAGAAACTAGGGAGACGATGAAGTTGGCTATACTGTTGGGTATACGGCGGAGGGTGGGCTAGAGTATGAAGTTTCAGGGAGACTTGAGACTATCCCTGACCTGGAACTAATGGTTCCACGGAGGCCCCCCCCCCCGGTGGTTTAGTCCGGCCTGGCCTACCGGACCTGCCCGACCAGCGTCGGCCGCGGCTCAGCAAGGCTCCCGGCGCCGCCTTCTCCTAGCCCGCGGTAGGCTGCGGCGCTTCTGTGGGTGGGGGAAGGCAGGCCTGACGCCGAGTGAGTGTAGGGGATGGAGACGCTGACTCCTGGCGCGGGAGACTGGGGGAAGGGGTTGACTCCCCAGGGGCAGGGATGGGCTGGGGGCGGGGGTGCGACGTTGCTAGGAGACGCGCTTGTGTGACCCCCCCAGCCTCGCGAGGGCGGCTCTCTGTCCTAGCCAGCGGCCTCGGGACCCCGCCGGGGGAAGCGGCCCGAGGGCCAGGAAGCGGAGGCCTGTTTGGCGAACAGCTGAGATGCCGGTTTGGGGCCCAACAGAGACTTTTCCTGAATCCTTTGGATCCCCGAATGTAAATGTGAGATCAGTAGGGGCAATTCCGGGGTCGAGAGGCGTCAAGCTGGGGAAGGTTGACCCAAACGAGGTCCCGTAGAGGCCACGGAGGCTTCCTAGGACGGTAGTGAGAACCTGCTTCTTAAACGGCTTCGGTCCGCGAACGAGAACGAGACGGAGGCCTTGCTCCGTGACTGTTTATTGGAGTCCGGGAGAAAGTTAAAATGTCAATCAGTTAGGAAGATATCAGCAAGTACGACATGCCCCCCTAAGACCATAATACGGGGTGTGAAGCGGTAGGAGGTGGGAGGAAGGCCACTCCAGGTGGGGTGAGGCTTTTCAGATAAGGCCAGAGTTCCACGGAGATGCGTGAAAGGAGAGAAGCTAGGGAGTGGACTTTTCTAGATGGAGAAGAGAGCCAACAGGAAGGGTCCTGAGGAGGGAAACGGCGGGAAAGCCAGGTGGCTGGAACTGAAAGAACACGGGCTGGAGTGGTCTGTGATGGAGAAGTGGGAGGGCCTGATCCTGCACAGCTAAATGCCCAAGGTAAGGGTTTGGCTGTTGTGTTACCTGAGGGTTTTGAGAAGGGGAGTGACCTGATTTACATTAAAAAAAAATTATATATATCACTCGGCTGCTGGCTAGAGTAGGGTAGAAAGTTGTCAGACCTGTTAGGAGGCTGCTGCCCCAGGCCCAGGGAGAGATGGGTAGTGTGGCATTGGAAATGCAGATTATTAAATTCGGAATGCATTTTGGAAGTAGAGCTTGCAAGACTTGCTGCTGGATTGGATAGTGAAGTGTACGGGAGGAGGAGGGACCAAGGATGACTCCTAAGGGGAAAACAGTTTGGAAGGGAATATCCTAAATTGTCTTTTAATCATACTAGATTTGATTAAGTCCATTAACCCTCCAGGTGAGGATGTCGAGAAAAGTTAGATATGCAAGTCAGGTGGATGTCCTAGAGAAAAATAAATGTAGGGGTTTTTAGAGACTCCGGGGGAAAAGAAGACGAGCCAGCAAAGGAGACCCTTGACATAGATAAGGCCTCAGAGATAAAAGAAGGCTCCCTTAATATCCCGCAATAATGAGACTCTCATAATCAGTGAGACTCATCCACCCACTATCCAGCTTCTATTCATCCTCTAAGCCCTGGCTCAAATCTCTTCCTTCCCTTCCAACCCCAGCTGTCAGTGCTTTTGGACTTGTGCGCAGGTGATTTGTGTCCATTACAGCAAGGCTGATTTTGCTTGTTAATTGTTCATATGTCTGACTCCCCACGGGCTATTTCTTCTTTGCGTCCTTCTGGCTCCTGGTACAGAGCTTTGCCCATAGGGCCCACTGTGTAGTTATGGCTAGGTAGGAACACTATTCATAAGATAGCAGCCATGGACTTCAACAACTCTAACAGAAGGGCTTTTGTCCCACTGCTGCTGCCAACTGTCAGCCACAATCTAGATATGGTTAATCTCATAAAATCTAGAAAGGATATCAGAAGTATGAGAAGGCCTGGGTTTCAATCTTGGATCTGTTTCTGACCAGCAGTGGCCTTGGATAAGGTCTTTTTCTTTGAGATGGAGGGGTTGGGCTAAATTAGAGATTGCAAACTAGCAAGACAGATACTGCATGCAAACATATCGTTCATCCCACAAAGTGATTTAAATTTAAATTCTTTTTAAAATTTACTTGCCAACGTTTAAAAATTGGACATCAAAATCTAGATCTTCAGCTTCATTTGAAAAATGAGACAATCTGGCCACACTAGGCTGAGGTTCCTCCCCTGCAACAGTCAGCTAGCGCCAGTAAGCTTCTCCCCATGTGCCCCTCCTTTTCAACTATCTGCCTGACCTGAACATTATCAAACTGAACATTTGATTTGCAGTTCTTGGTGTAGCCCTGTGCTGTTCTCCAGGAGCCATTAGCCACATGTAGCTATTTATTTGGTTTTTACATGTAGCTATTTAAAATTTTGAATGCCAGTTCCTCAGTTGCAGTAACCATATTTCAAGTGCCCAGTAGCTACATGTGGCCAGTGGCTAGCTACCCTGTTGGGCAGCACAGTTACAGAATATTTCCGTCATTGAAATACATTCTGTTGGTCAGTGCTGGACTGGAGGAGCGTGAACGTATTCTGGGTGCCAGTCATTGCTCCTACTCTCAATGAATTTTGTCTAGTAAGGAGCTCTGTTGCATCTGCAGATGAGAAAAGTTGCTCGGTTTGTAGTTACTTGATAATTAGAGGGTACTTAGAAACTGTCTTGAGAGCAGAGACCCCTACTTAAGGTGAGGTTATTCATCAGAGGGTTGGATCAAGGGTCAGATGCTAGAAAGCTCCAACTATGTCTAATGTTCTAACAAGTCCTTTGTCAGTTTCCTAATCCATTTCCCTAGGAAATTATAACAAAGGAGGGATTGAAATGTTAATTTAAACCTAATGTTTTTTGTTCTTGGACTTCCCCAGTTCCTATGATGGGGTGAAATCCTGAGTAATTATGAATGAATGACTGGGGTTGATTTTTTTAGCATTGACCTAGTTTTCATCTATTTCCAGCAGACACACACACACACACACAAACATGTCTAACACCTCCCCCTACTTCTGGTAACTGGTTCTCACCACCTCTAACTGACCTGACCCTTTGTCTTTGTCTCTTAAAATCTGCAGATTAGGAAACACATACTTCCATTTCTTTTTGAGGGGCCAAAACTTGGTTTCCATTTAGAATATCCATCTCTGAGGGGGAAAAAAAGCTGTATCTCTCTTGGTTACAAAAGCCTGATTGGAGTTCCCCTTACAAGTATAATGTTGTGTGTGCTCCTATGGTGGTATATTTAGAATGAACATACTTGCCTCCTAGATCTTGTTTGGGATAATTTAGAAGTTTTTCAGACATCAGTATTTTTGGTTTTTCCCTGCATTCTGGAGATTTCCCATATTACAGGACCAAACCTAATTTCCATTTCTTTAAGTAAAATGAAAACACCATCTACCTTCTCCTCCCTGCCTCCTATCTCTGACACCCATATTGTCACTTTCTGTGTAAATAGATGCTATTTCAGAGAATAGCTGTGCTATGATTAAGTACACCACACAAGCATATCCTGAGATTTGCAAAACAATATGGCTTTACACTTCCCTTTTTGGAATCTAGTAACCAAACACTGCACCCAGGACAGGAAACAAGTCCATTGGGTATGTTCATGTGTCTGTGACTATCTCGATCTGTCTATTAATGAAAAGGAGAGAGGATAGACAGCAAAGATGTGGGGGGGGGCACAGCTTATCTTGAAGGTTATTCAATTTGGGTAAGGATGATACTGTATAGGATATGGGTGTATACCAGAACATAGGAAATATAACAGATGCAGGAGGAAAACATGCCAAAGGATAAGCAAGGAGTAAGAGATAAAGGAAGAAAAATAGGAAGGGAAATCTGGGCATGCTTTTGGTGTTGGCACCTGCATTATATTTCCAGTAAGAAGTATGTGCTGTGGTCTGAAGATAAGCGGTACCTCCGACAGGGTTATTTACTCATACTGAAGAACAATAGTCCTTTACTGTACAGGGATTATTAATGATCAGAGGGAAACAGCTTTAGGAAAATCCATTACTATCACAAAGCAATAAATTCGCCAACAGGCAGCCTGCTTCTTTTTCCTCCTCTGCCGACAAAGCTTGGTATAGATAAAAGAGGCCTCACTGTTTCTTCTTTATTTCCTCCTATTCAGGTAATATTTGCCTTCTTTAGCTCCCAAACTAAGTGATTTACATGGATTATCTCATAAATAATCTTTACCACAACTCTTTGAAGAAGGTTCTATTGTTATCCCACTTCACTTTTTAAGAAACTGAGGCTCAAGAAGACTTGATCAGTGTAGTGAAGTCAGAATTCAAACCCAGGTTTGGCCATTCCAGAACCTATCTGCTTATTAGTTACATTGTATCTTCTGTTCCTTACATGTGTGGAAAAACTGAACGCCTAAAACCAAGACAGTCATTCTCTACCCTGGCTTTCTGGGGCAAGAAAAACTTTGCTTTAGCATTATAAGAGCATTTCAGTTCCCTAGAGGTTTTCCAAGTGACAGAAACTTTAAACTACGATTTTGTAGGTTGGTTTGACCCCTAATCATTTGGGTGCAATGGATCTATTCCCCAGAAGAATTTTTTCCCCAAGAAAAAAATCTATCAGAACCACATTTTTCTATATGTTTGGTTCTAAGCTTCATGGAAACAGTAAATCATTTCAGTCCAGTGCATCAACCCTTACTGACTTTCAAAGAACTTAAGGGTAAGGGTTACATTATAACTGTGTGTCTAATACTGCCTTAGATGGAACCAATAAGGCCTCCTCCCCAAATAACAAAGTCTTAAATTCCTTATTCTGACACCCATAGCACCACTCTTGAAAACATCATTGTGAGTGTTAATTAGTATTTTTAAATATTTTAGGGTCTTCAGTTGGGACACTGGTCCAAATACCACCACATATGAGAATGGGCATTACTGGTGACCATTCTGTGTGTATAAACTTATTCTTATAACATATATCTCAAATTCCAACTTTGTACCAGGCCTAAGAATGTGAGGAATGAGGCACAGTCCCAACCTTCTTTATCCCTCCCCAAAATACACACAGAGAAGGAAGAAAGGTAAGCCAAATAGAAATTTACAACAGAACAGGATGAACATGATGATATAAGTGTGCTGGTCATACCTGGGGTACACACAGCAGGGACATAGCTGAACCCATTTCAGCATGAAAAAAGCACCTTGCTAAAAGCAGTGGAAGTACATGGATGAGAATTAGCAGCTAGGCAAAGAAAGAATATTTCAGTTGTTTGAATTTGGACCTTCATTTGACAAAAAGAAGGGATGTCCGATCTATGGAGATGGGATGGCAGGAGAGGGGCAGGCCAGCATGGGTGCCCAATGAACACATAAGACAGTGATTTCATTGGGTGAGTTTCACAGTCACCACCACCCCCACCCACCCAATCATAAAGTACTTGGGAGAGAAATATTACATTCATTATGAGGAGAAAAAATTCTATTCAGGGATGATACCGAAGGAATGGAAAGAGTCCTTCAACCTGGGGCTTGAAAGTCAGTTAATTCCCATTGCCTTTTCTGTCCCTTGTTTATATGGCAACACTTTTTCTTAAGTAGAAGGCAAAGCCTCATGAGAGTCCAACACTGGGAATTTTTACATTCCTGAGACCAGAGTCATACTTCTATAAATTTCATCTGGAGAAGGAATTTTCATCTCTGCTCTTAAACTCCTCAGCGTTCATGCTGTGATGGCCTTTCCAAAGGTGGGGGAAAGGGTGAAGTGGATAAATCCCCTAGTACTAGCATATCTTCCCACAGGCCTCCTGTAAAACTAAATCTGGTCATGCCACGTGCCTACATGTGCTGTGTAGAGTGGGTTCTTGGAGCCTACCTGGACCTTTCACTATTTCCACTCACCATAGAGTAGAAGGGTGAGTGGGTGGTGTGTTGTGTTTTGTTTTACATTGATTACTTCCCCATTACTCCAAAATAAAAATGG